TGGTGTTTGGAATCTACGTTTGTTTATTTGGTAAGCAAATCTTTTGTGTGTCAATCTTGATGACTATGATGCCAAGCTCAATTATACCTATCTTGTTCTCTAAAAAAAGGTGCATCGCCAATATTACCGTGGGGTATATGCCAGAACTGGTGCTTGCGCAAGCAAGTCAAAGAAAGTCTTAAGGAAAAATATCCAAAATACATACCGCTTGTTGACCCAGTTGACGGTAGCATAGAGGTCAGACAACGAATAGCATATCTCGAAACATTCCTCAAAGATTATGTAATTGAAGTAGATGTATTGGAAGAGACTGAAAATGTTGATGAAGGAGATAACGCTCTGACTGCGGCTGAAAAAGATGAACTCGCCACGGGATCAAGAAGGTCACTTACTCCAGGTGACGACGAATGAATGAATGAATTGCTGAGTGGAGAAACTGAAAATGACAATTTAAGTAGAAATGATTGATATAAGCAAATAATACCATGAATATAATATTTAGAATAATTTATTCAGTAATACAAATTAAATTAATAAATAATTTCGAAACTTCAAGTAATAACCAAGGTTTAATTGTGTAAACAGCGCTTTGGATGTGTGAAAATCATTAGATCACTGCTCATACTTAATGGCATGGTTCCGTACTTGGGGCCTATTGATAAATGCACAATTCACGTTTTAATGAGATTATTAATATTCAAAAAAAGCTTGGACAATGTCAAGTGAGCGGATAAGATCTGTGAGATCTCAAAATGAAGCCAACAACTATAAACTAATATTCTAATTAAATGACATTATATGCTTAAACCCTCTAACTGTCTGGTCCCGACAGTGTGCACAGTTCAATTTTGCCGGATAAAAGTTTTTATTTTCTTCGTATGCTGTATCCACATAATCTACCGTATTAGAAATTAAAAGTATCGGGGCCCCCAGAATAACTAAATTTCTGTCCATGTACAGTTTATGGGGATCTTGTCACGCAAAAGCTCGGACGATACAAGTTCTATCTTTAACTACTGCCTCTCGATCGATCGATTTTAATTCTAACGATACCAACTACCGCTTCATTAACAACATCCGCAACGGGCTGCTTAACCCACAATCCACATTCCCAGAACGACGGCCTGCCTAACATACGGATTTATTTATTTAATTACAAATCATCGTCATCCATGGCAATTTCGTCTGGGTTTGCAGGTGCTGCCTGTTGCTTCACCTGTTGATTGGCAGGCAGTTGAGCGGAAATAAAATTGATCTGGCGAAGGAAAAGCCGGTTGTTTTAATCGTAAATGTAACGGATAACAAAAAAAAAAAAGAAGCTTCATATAATGAATAAACTATACCTCCGTATTATTCTGCACTTGTTGCTGTTGCTGTTGCTGCTGTTGTTGTACTTGTCTATTAGCAAGTATTTGAGCGGAGATAAAGTTGACCTAATATGGAAGGGTCATTATGGTTAAACATTAACGTGATAGACCAGCCAACAGTATTCGAATAACATGATTATACTATACCTCGGTATTATACTGTGCTTGCACACTGCGTTTAATACGGAGCATTTCCTTGAACGTATCTTCATTCCCGTGTTTAACTTCAAAGTCGTGCCACGTTTGCCAGAAGCCAGGATCAATCTATATCAAGTTAAAAATAACCCAGTGAATATCTGATGCAAAGAAGATATTCAACAGATGTATGGCTTGCTCACCCTTGGGTCGCAGAACTGAGATGCATGCGCATACAATGCGCGAGCACGATCGATCTCTCCCAGCTTACGCTCCAATTCAGCGTACTTTAAACCCATTTCCTTCGCTTCTCTATCAGGCAAGACCTCTATCGCATGCTCATATATCTCACGAGTGTAAGTGACACCAAAGTTCGCACTTGCTTTGGCTATATAAAAGTTGAACATCTAGTTGAAGAAACTCGTGAGTATGCTTTAAACAAGAAATAATACAAGAGTAACGTCAATAATCACCTCAAATCGATCTTCGTCCGAGACAGCACTTGTTGCCCGATCATATATACGCATTGCATGACGAGCCAACCCATAATCCTCTTCGAGTTTACCATACATTAGATAGAGCGGCTTGGCAAATTTGGGTGGACATTTCTCGAGCGCTTGTTCAAAGAGATCCCTAGCTCGTTCTAATTTAGACCCTCCCTGCAGAGTTGTAGGATAGTGAATATTGTCCGAATGCAGATGCGTCAATTGTACAGCACACAACTTGAGTAAACATACAGCTATTTTGAGACTTTGCAGGACTTACATAACGCTTAATAAACTTTGTCAAATAAGTATTCCATATTTCAAAAGCTATAGGGTAGTTAAATAGCTCTATGCCGCGTTCGTATACCTAATATGTAATCGAGTGTAAACCAACAATTGCATTACGCAAATATTGCAAGCTATGCTACTACTATCGACTTCTTACTTTAAAGCCCTCCTCGTAGTATTTGTTCTCCTCCAAGAAATTAGCATAGTTGATAATTATTTGAGGGGTAGCAATTTTGAGTTCGAGAATTCTATCGTAAACGATTCTCGTGGTCTCTACAGTCCCAACACTCTCTTCCAAATCAACGTAAAATGACCAAAGCGTGAGAGACTTGAATACTCTGAGCTGCACGGAAAGTGACTACGAAAAAAAAAAAGGATTAGTAAATGATTTATCATGTTTAATAAACTTGATAAAACAAACCTCATCACGAAAGTTAACGTTAGGATTGCGCGGAGGTGTCGTAGCACGCGCCATTATATCCAAAGCCCGCTGATAATTATTGTGACGTAGCTCCATCTCGGCATATTCACACCACAACGTCGCCAAGTCGTTAACATTTTTATAATTCACCTTTGTCGCCTTTTCAAATATGGTACGAGCATCATCGAGACTCCCTCCTTCTTCATAGAATGAAGCAAATGCAATCCACAATTCATGTAATTTGCCAACGGCTTTTTTAGGGTTTATTGTTTGGATTGCTTTTGAATAAGTTTCTACAACCTATTCACAGATAGGTACTTGATAAGATGAGAACTTGCCATTTAATGACGCAAGCAACGGTAATTGTTAGTAAAATGTTATATACCTTTTCGACGTTGTCTTTCCACAGGCTTACTCTCTTCATCCACTCGTGCACATTATTTGGGTTTTGTCTTAAGAGAACATCATTCACGAGAAATGGTCTACGATCCATTAACTCTTCAAACCGAGCAAGGCGTAAATCTATTTCAAGATCTGCCAATGGATCATTTCGTCCTGACGCTACTCTCTCTGAGGCTTCTTCCATTTTAGCTGACATAACTGATTCCTCGAATTCTGCATAGGCGTCAAATATCTGCGAGAAGTCTCTAACTGTCATGACTGTTTTAATTCCTTCTTCATAGACATCTCGTGCCTTGTAAAAAAAAAAGTCTCCGTTAGCAATGTTCTTTTAACTTTGAATTATATACGACAAAAGACAAAAGATACCTTCTCAAAATGTCCTAATTTAATATAGTAGCTTGCCAATGAGTTCCATAATCTCCCAACTTGATCAGTAAATCTTCGAATTCCACTTCTTATAATTGGTTCAACTTTCAAGCTTTTGATTTCGTTAGGATGTTTGCATACTAGATCACACAGCTCCATCCATAACTGATAGTTAGATTTTCCGTGCAGTGATTGGAAATTATCATTATTAACCACCTGCGCAAGTCTCTTCGCTGCCTCGTCGTATCTCTCAAGCGACAACAGCAAATCTATGTACTCTTCTACATGATTTGGTTCTAACTATTATTATCAAAACCAATTACAGAGATGTAAGCTTCATGTCATCAAAAAACCAACCCTGTGATAGTGTGCGTTTTACTTCTCGGATAAACGCGAGAAATAGTAGGTTGTTTTTTTTAGTCGCGTCTTGAAATATTTATTCAAATTATCCTACCTAATCGGATTCACATACTTGAAAAATGTGAGTGAGAAGAGACAAATTTCTCAATATTTCCGTAATTTCAATAAGCTCCTCACCTTCAAATATCTTCGATAGAGACGGATCGCTGTCTCACCACCAACTGTTCTGGCGAATTTTAGATAAGGTTCCCAGATTCTCGGATGTTGGGTTATGGGAAGAGCTCTTAGAGCACGATCAAAAGTACGACGAGCTTTCGTTATAATACATTGTTTCATGAGAAATGTACAGTATTCTAACCATATACTTGGCATCTGTAATTGATTTACGATGAGTAAGTGTGGAAAGGTTTTGGCTGGGAATCAGATAGCTGTTTTATACCTTGTGTAGCAAGACAAGAGCTCTTTCAAAGCAGTTGTTAACTTTCTGATATTCCTTTTCATATCTGACCGGATTTAAACCCTCTACGTGTTTCATTCGTAAATCAAGATACCTTTTCCATATCTTGTATGATCCCGGTAGTTCTTTTAACGCACGCTCGTAGATCCAGATCTGCTGAGCTAGGGGCTTCTCTAACTTGTGATCTATATAACGCAACCAAGACTTTAGAGTAAAAGGGTTGCGTAATATTTCCTCTTCAAAAGGAACGTCAATTTCTTCCTGGTAAGGCGAATTCGGTCAAGGAAATGCTGGATTTCTATAATTATGTAATCAAAATTTCCAGTACTCCAACTTTGAGCAGCTGTATCGTCAAAAGGATACTATTATGTAGAAATTATCGGGATCGGAATCTCTTTCCATTTGTATGTAATAGCGAAGAGGATGGTGTATTTAGTATGTCTAATACACGATTTTTTCTGTGGATCGTACCATGTGACACAAGCATAAAATGGCAGATCAAAATTTGGAGCAAGCTGTATACAAGTTTGATTGCAACGCGTCATCCGGATACAATTTTAATTTTACTGGGATAAAAAATAATACACATTGCTGACGAGCAAGTTTTGAAGTATAATTAATTGTACGAAGGTTTTTGTACGCAGTAAGTGTCCCCAGATTTTGGAAGGTAAGGGCGATGACACTGATCCAGATATGAAGGAACGTCGTCCATTATCTTGGATGAGTTATTTTGGATAAGCCATCATTGCGGAAAGGGCTGCTTAATTTACAGTTCATTTATAGCTTACATGGGTCTATTCAATGGTTGCATTGGAGATTGGAAACTCGGTGCTGAATTGTACTGGTGTTTTTTCCTAACAAATTAGCTATATTCTAAGGGCACGTTAGAATTATTATAAATAGCGTTGACTCTTATCGGTTAGAAACAATAAGTACATACATTCATTTGCTCATGGTGTAAATGTGCGGGAAAAGTGTTTTATTCATACGGAAATTATCCAACCTAATCAAACTTTAATTTGTGCAATTTTCGAATAAACCACAATTTTCGTACTACAAGTCTACTTGATGATTAATACGGTTCAAATCAAATATAAGGAAAATTAATTTTAATAAACACGGTTAACTCA